AGATGGGAAAGGTTGCATAGATTTGTGACCTTTGATTCGCTCTCTATGCAAAGGCATCTTGAAGCAAGATAACGAATGGAAAGGAGAACTATCGTGTATTACCTAGGCAGAATTTGGAGGCGATTGGAGCAGTTGGAGCGAATTTACGGCCATTTTCCTTCGGTGGATTGGTCGAGCCGCTTCACTGGAGTACCCAACCTTGGTAAACCTTTATATGGAGAGAAAACTGTTTACATAAAAACCCATAAACGGCCGTAAATCGACCCGTGGACCACACAGGAGAGATGTAACACACATTTTAAGTAAGGTAAGCTGTTTTTTATTGAAATCCTTTCATTTTCGTAGGTTACAGAGACGATAGGTTTTTTTCCCATACAAATCCTTATATTTCGAATGTTACGCGACAATGCCGATGCTCGCCGATGCTCATATTTCAAGCTTGGGCTACCTGTGTGTCGACCTACAATGAGGTACAAGTGTGCATTGTACATCACGTGCTGTTTAGAAAACGAGCAGGAGCATATTATCAGGTTTAAAAACTGGAGGCGAGTTTTTCGTTGAATGGCTTCAAAATCTCTGATACAGATCAACTCACTGTTGCACTAATATTTAGGTTTGGGGTTATTTTGGTTTAAAGAATTGGACATAAAAAAAGTGTAGCCATGTCTTTTGTTTTTGAAGACATAAAATCAGCTAATGACCACTAATGAGCTGAAATGGAAATACTCTTATCAATTGGCAGCTCTAAGGACAAAATTTAGAGACATTCTTGAGAGAATTGCAAGAAAAAGATCATGGTGACAGGTTGTTCGGGCAGCCAATAGTCCAGGCAAATAGAAACAGAAAATCCTTGTATTGTGTCATTCATAAAACATGAAATAATTTCTTGGGTAGTCATGCAGTGATGGCAATGAAAAAGTGAGATACGTTGTGCAAACTTATTGTTTTGCTAATCTAAACCCACACTGTATTGCTTTTTCACCATTCTTGCTGTAGCTCGCATGGGTCCAGGGTCCTGTTTTCACTTACCCTTTTGGAGATTTATACAACCCTAATATACTGTTGTTTTAATCGACATTCACAATGCTGGTAAACATAACTATAGAAGTTAAACAGTAAACACCCGGGCATATAAGAACAAGCGGATTAAGAATACCATGCTGAAATTTGGCCAATAAAGCCCCATTTTTATAAGAACAAGATTAGCCTGAAAATTGTAACTTGTTCTTATAAAATGGAAAAAGTGTCATGATTACAAAGCATGTAAGTTTATGATATAATATAATATATAATATGATCAAATTACTGGATAATTATTTATTTTATTTTGCTAAAATATGCTTAAAATATACCTCTAGCAACATGTTTTGGATAGTATTACTTAAAAAAAATTTAAGAACATTTTGAGGCTGATTTGTCATTATGCACCCGATAAATAAGAACTCAATCAGCCTGACCTCCGAAATCGTGTCTTTTTATATGCGGGTGTTTACTGTAGTTCTGTACAATAAAACATTAAGAAGAAGAAGAAGAAAAGTAGAAATCAAAGATACTTCTAGTCTACAACTTAAAGAAATCCACATTCACGTAATATTCACTTTTTGGAAAAAGAGTCTTGTTTCATAGGATAATTTTTTCTCTGACTGATACCTGATATCTTTTCTTTCATCGACTTTAAATTTCATCGCAGAACTTGCTCATGGCTCATGTTTTCATACAATCGAAAAATCTTAGCAACCTGAAAAACTTTGCGTAGTACAGAAAGTGTTTCGGCTATGATTTAATTCATTCAGCCATCGTCCACTTTGCTTCACCATTATATAATTCTCCATCCCAGCAAAATAATCCTTTGTCATTCGAAAATGTTCTTGCAATTTTTTGCTCATTGAGTAAAACAATTTCTCTAGCAAAGCAAGGGGGTAACAATGGAAACAGTTGATTAATGTACACAAAACTCAGGTTTCAACCAACAGAAAAAACCTTTTGAGGGCGCGTATTATTGGGAACCGCTGTAATGTACTACTGCAGGGTTCTTCACATGTAACGTTCCTTTTAATGTTCATGTTGTTTGTTTCGAGGCAGAAAAGTGAACAAAGCTTGGACATACACCTGTATGTGTACATGTCTTTTTGTTTCATTTGCTATTGATTTTATTTGTGTAGAATAGTTCTGAGCATGATCGTAATATAAATTGTTTATGTTGAAATTTTACAGCTTCGCTTTATACATGCATTTTCTACAAAATACATCCTGAATCTATACTGTACCAAGCATACCTTGTTGTTTATGGTTAACTGCAGGGGTTTCAATAGTAGCCGGGTAGTGGGTAGATCTACCCGCTTGCAACGGGCTGATTACCCGCTTAGAGCCTTCACATGAATGTCAACTAAGACCAGATAATTTCATCTCAGCTTCGAATTCTTGCCCAAAAATTTGGCAAAATAGGTTTTGACTATGACTACTTCATTGTAACATAATTCTCTTCAAATTTGTTTAAATTAGTTGACTTAGGAGCAAAAAAATGTAAAAACAAAGCAACAAAAAAAGACCTGAAAATGCATCTGCAAGAGTCTAGAACTTCAAAATTTTCCGGGGGAGCATGCCCCCGGACCCCCCTAGGGTCGAAGGCCCTTGGGGCCTTCGGCAAATATACCCGCCTGTTACTCTTAAGTACCCACTTATGCAAAAACTTATTGAAACCCCTGGTTAACTGGATTTTTCATTGGTTCAATGATCATCTCTACTGTACAGTTTCTGTGATGGCATTAAGTACATGTCGTTTGTAGCTGTCTATATCGGTATTTGAATGATTAATTGTGATATCTATTCATTTGACTGGAAATGTAAACAGTACAACAATTCTGTGTTTACAATATTAATGGGGGTAAGGGAAGACTTATGTACACGGAAGATCTTTGCCATAATTATTGATTATAATATTTTTTACATGACTGTATACATATTTTCAGTTATTAATATTATTCTCATGTAAGGACAATGATGCAAAAAATAATGTAGCCCAATGGAATTCAACATTTTAACCATGCCTCTACACTAATGTACTTCTACCCAAGAATTTTGTCTTCTCCTGAACGAAACCCAATTACCCTTCAGTACTAAAGCACCTCTTTACATTCTTTTTAATAAGCAAAATTTATTTCCATAAGAAGCCTGCAGAGTTGATAGTTATGGGTCTAGTTTTGAAGAGTTTGAACTTTTGCTCAGCAACAAAGTACAGCAAAGTACAGCATGAAATGTGTTTAACTTAATTTTGCACTGAAGACATAATTAACAAGTTTGCATACATGTAAACTGATTAGAGTCAATGACTATTTGGAAAAACTGCTGTTTCTTGTGTCACCTGAGATCAGCTCAATATAATTTATTTCTTTTGTTTTCCTTAGTGATTATGATTTGCACATACATATAATGCCTCTCAAATGTGCCTGGCAAGTTTCCTGTAAACAAATGAGCACAGTAACATGTCTTTCAGCAAATAAAAGTGCTGATTATTCATCAAGATAATTCTTTTATAAAAAAGAGTTAAATTATCTACTGAGTTAAGCTGGATTTGAAACACCATGAGCACCGATCGAGTTATTTTTCAGTCATAGTCCAAATTATTGATGTACATACTTTTTTTGCATATGCATATATTTACATTAATTAAAGGTATCACACAACAATTTCCAGCTCCAATTGTTTCAGTCTGTTTCAATGAAATTCGGGAAGTGGGTCACATAAACACAATCATCAGCATCCTTAACATCTATAAAAACACATTTATGTAAGATGTTCCTGATTGGGATGACATCAACATTTTCCATTCTGAAAGAAATAAAAAGAAAATGAGGTAGGAAATACAAAATGAGGCCATTTTTAAGATGCGGAACAAAACAAAAGATCTCAATATCGCTGTCCATCTTTTAGCCATAAAGTAATTAAGTTCTTTTGTTTTATTACCAAAACCTACATTTATATACAGGTATATTTGTATTTCTTAAACAATAATTTGTACCCTTGGATAATGCTATTGATCCAAGTTCTTATTTCAACGTACACTGTGAAGTTAGCAAAGTTGCTGCATTGACATATTATTGCATTAATAGATGATTGTGACAGTGTAGTGGTTATATAGTCATCAACAGTAAATACATGACGCATCTTGTGTTCTGATGTTTCAATACTCCAACTGCCCAATTGTACCGTAGCTATTAGGAGACCCATTATCTGGATGGTTGGTAGAAATCGGATCAAACAAATTCTGATGCTTGGTATGTAAGTGTGATATTAAAAAAAAAGAGATTTTCCAAAAGCAAAAACTTAACTGCACAATTAATTTATCCAATGGTTTAAACACAGATAGGACATTTGACATGTTTGTGTACCTTGGCTTCTGCATGATCTGAAGCTGCTTCTGGATTCCTTCAATTCCAGCTTTTTCCAGAAGGTTAGAATCTCTTAATGGTTCCATGTGCACAACAATGGCAAAGTGTTGATCTTTGTTGCACTGGCATAAGGCAATACAAGCACGTTGGCAAATGGGTGTATGTTTCACAAAATACTGTATTTGACCACATTCCCTCCTCTTCTGACTGTCTTCATAGGTTACAGTGTAACTGTTTCTTCTGGAAACACGGCCATATGATTTAGAGTGAAATACTTCACCACGAATGATTGCCCTCTTAAAACTCTGGCATCTTCCCAGAGCCAAATCTCCAGTGAAATCCTTGATATGCTGCTCTATAGTTTCTGGGACCTCAAAGTCAGTAAAAGCACCAAGTAAATGCACTCCATCCTCAAGCTTTGTTGACCTTAAATGCATAAAAAAAAAACATATCAATTTTTTTTACCAATGGCTTAATGTATATCGACCAATAAGAACGAACTAAACTAAGGTATTAACAGGGTTAGAATCATGTTACTTTTGAGTCTTATGGACTATGAACACGTCACTGTTATTGATTTTAAAGCTAAATCAATATAGTATTTGAAACATACTACTGCCATACATACTTCTGTTCTTTTCCAAATTTCATCCTTCTGTACAAACTGTAACTAGGAGAGTCTTTGTCCAATTTCCGCGCAAGGTCTGGAGCAATTTTGACTGCAGAGACTGAGGATGCTATCTACAAAAGATCAAAAGAATCCTTCCATACATCTTATTGATCAATGAGTAAATTAATTATTAGACTTGCTTTTAGATACCTTTCAAATATATATTTTATGAGCACAGTATTATTGATTCTTGCTATTTTGATCACCTGCATATCTATGTTCTGGGTGCCATGGAAAAGCGCAGTTAACTCCCCATTTGCATCCTCAAAGTCAAAAGTTGAATTTGCCCACAGTGGTCCAAGATTGTGAACTGATGCATGTATGTGAAGCAAATTATGGATATTGATGGTCATATGACGCTCAGCTGAAAAAAAAAATGCAAACACCCCATTTCACTAGCTGTAAAAGCCACCATGGTGTCAAAATAATTAACTATTAATTGACAAATACATTGATCTCAACAAAAGTTAATGCATGGAGGCCCAAATGAAGCAGTTAAATACTCACAATAGAGGGCATCCATCAGCATCACAAATTTTGCCAGAAGGTTTCCACTCTGATTGACTTCTTCTGGTGAAATAGTCTGCTGATTCACCAGCCACACACTAAATGCAAGAAGCATGAAGTGGTGAAGATAAACATCGGGAAGAACACCAACCAGGCAAGGAACGCTGTAGTAAAACAGCCAATTTCGTATTCGGTTGCTGTGAAAAAAAAAAGAACCATAGGGTATATGTATTACAAGAAAACATGCCTACTTTAAAAAGTACACGACTGTATGCTCATCTATCACATATGTAGACTTAATGGATATTATACCTTTAAAATACTTGCGATGAGTTTCAATAGGTCTGGGTGTTCTTGTGATATTCATGGGTGGATGGATACTACAAAGACGCTCATCAATAATACTGACACGATCACCACAGTACCAAGGTTGGTCCTTGTGTTTTGAATCAAACCACAGGGCCATCAATTGTCGTGTAACTCCCAGCAGGACCCCATGCATGTAATCCAGGCAAACACCTTTACTGATATCATAGTGTTTAAGGCTTGCAAACTGGCAAACACCTTTCATCCCATTTACCTAAGAAAATGTAAGAAAACAAATAATTATGAAAGTGCACTTTATAGATGTACATGTAGATGTCAATTAAACTAAGGTCTACTGTACACTGTAGTGTAAGGTCGACTAGAACAGTACATTTCGTATTTTATTTTTGTGTTAAATGTTTCATATGTATTAGTCATAGTTTTCTATGTAGGTTTCTAAATCTAAGTGAAATTACAAAAATTAATGCTTATAAGGCTCCTTGAGGTATTGAAAATTCTTGTGATGATTCAGAAACCCCATTAGAAAATGACAATAGTATAATACAACTTCGACACTCTGTGAATGTAGGGTCTTCAATGTGCGAAAAAAAAAAACAAAAAAACAAACACTAACACCCAGGATAAAGGTATATATGAAGTAGACTAAATCATTTCATGACATTTAATGACAGTACACTAACTTACAGGTTTTCCTCCTGATGTACCCTGCAGAAACTGCAAGCCATCTGCAACCATACTTTCTTTTGTGCGTTCTTTAGCAAGTCCATTGTTTGATTCAAAATTGAAAGGAAAAACTGTAACTCTTCCCCTGTGTCCTTCTTTTTTCACACTTGATTTGCAAGACATTCCCAAAACCATGCAGTAACAGCAGCTGCAAAAGCCATTGTACTGAACCATCTCTAAAAAGGAACACCTTGCAGGAAGATCAAGAACTGAGCCAAGAAGGAACACATGACTGGTAAAATTTCCCTTATCTGGAATCTCCATAACAAGTCCTAAAAGTGTATATAAACAAAGTATATTTTAAATTATTTGTACAATAACAAAATAATGTATAATCATGTTGTTGGGACAGTGGGTCCACATCTACTACACATATTACATACACAGGACAATGAACTCAGCTCAACTGGCCAGGGCTCAATGTTTCCAATAATATAAAAACTCTAGTAGTAATCAAAAGTGGATTTGATAGGATATTTTGTGGGAATACAATTGTTAAGAGTCACCGTAAATTCTAAACCACTGTTTTCTGTAGTCACCAACTTGGCACCAAAAACGTACACAAATCATGCAAACAATGAAAATGATCACCGCTTGGCAGCACAGGATGCACAAGATTAGGATACATTCTCCTAATGTCAAACTTAATTATGCATCTAGTCAGTATAATACACTACCATACAAGTTGGCCAGGAGAAATCACGTACATTTATTCCTAGTACAGTTTGCTTGAAAACTTTATACAAAATTTTATATACACTCTAAATATAAGTACATGTACAGTGTATATATGTTGTGGCTGAAACTTGTTTTTAGTTTCAAAACTATACTTTCCTTTGTCTTATATTTATAACTACATTTTAAAACAGGGAAAATAAAAATCAACCTGGCCAAACAAACTTTAAACCATAAAAAAATTTAGTTAGCCACAACATAGACATGAACATAAAGCTGTCTCAGAGACACCATGTATCCAGGTACCTTTTGTTTCAAGGTCTTCTAATGAAGTTCTGAAAGGTTTCAAAAAGGTAGACATCACAGGTTTTTTGTCACTGAACCAGAGGCCACCCAAAAGCATGTTCTCCAATCGTTTCCTATTAATTAAAACATGAAAACATTAAAATGCACTTACGAATTTACATTTATCAGAGTCAGAGCTTTTTTTCCAGCCTAGAAAAAGGAACAATAGGGTAAGAGTAATGAAAGTTAGTTTTTAAATAAAAAAGGGTCTGATACGGAACTCTATAATAATATCCTTTGATGAAAATAATGGTTTGGCACAATCACAGAAAATAGTAGTGAAAAATGTTGTTAAATAACCAATGTAATTCAGTTCAACTAAGTATATGTACAGTATGTGTCATTCCAGTCATCAACAAGGCAACTAATTTTTTGCAATGTTTTCGGAAATAGTATTGTGAATAGAGAATACAATGATAATTCCAAAAGTTTAATAAGATGCACTTACAATTCACCAATAATAATTTACTCTAATTTTTCCTTTTACTTGGTGGCAACTCATTGATCTCAAAGTACACTGGCCAAATACTTGAACCTGATGATTTGAAGATAGAAACACCATCTGTATTGAACTTTAAGGATAAGTTCTCTGGCTGAGAAAGTGGGCCATTATTTTCAAACAGCTTCTTGTAGAGATGGCCATCATATACATCCTCAATGTTGTGAGGGGATGTCTTCTCTCGCAGAAAGCGGTACTTTATATCTTCCTGAAATTCTCTTCCTAATATCAGATGACAAAAAAATACAACAAAGAAAATCAAGCTTACTGGTTGAATGATAAAACATCACTGCACTCTTTTATCACAAAATACTGTGATTTGAGTGTCAGTCGACACCACCAGCAGATTATAGCTATTAATTTGATGTAGCTCAATTGCCACAGGATGAGGTTTCTGCATTTATCAGAATAAGTGCCCACCTTGAATAAACATCGACCTTAAAGGACCTAACATTAAAGAAGCGCACAGGGCACTTATTCAAATACATATGGTGAGTAAGATAGTAAGAATTTCCACAGCCAAGGTGGGTAACACAAATCGAGACCTTGATAATTTTGCTATCATGTGAAAACCGACTCAATAATATTTTTTTTACATATACATTTAAAAACTAAATCATCATTTTAGGCTTAACTTTCAGAGACTTTGAAACTTTTTGTCACATGGATCTTACTGGCCCATTATAGGACCAAATATTTGGAAATATTATACTTCAATAGGGGTGACTGCATATTTTAAGCGATATATATATCTAGCTATTATCCCAGGAAGCATCGAAAGTGGCTAAATATATGATGCTGTAGTTAAGCCAGTATTTATATTTATTCCATTTTAACATCAATCACTGTTGTATATGTTGTAGTTTGAAATGAATCTTAGGTCAAAATGATTTCAAACTTGGTTAGTTTTGATTTTCTTTTGTTCCAGATTGATTACCATAATCCTAAGACAAAGAAAAGTACAAATCAAACTAGTTTGAAATCATTTTAACATAAGATCATTTTAAACTGCAACATATAAAATTATATTTTCTTACTTACTTTGCATAAGCTCGTTTAGCTGACTTTCGACAGAAAGGATGACAAAATATGACTTCTTCTTTGGATCTCTCACATCATTGTTGCAAATGGAGCACACATCAGGAGTATCACTTAAAACACCAAGATACTCAGAGCAAAAACTGCAGTAAAAGTGTTTTGTTATGGGAAGCTCGAAGTCAGCAAAGTACCTCTTGAGCTCACTGAGTGAGTTGACACACTTGTTGAGTGGACCAGGAATGCAGTGCAAATTGATCAAAGAAATTACGTCTGAAAGACAACTTCCATTCAGATTGTGAGCTACAGCCAAAGTAAGAATCAAAAGAATGCTTTCCGACAACAAAAGAGGCGACCCAGGGTATACATATACAGGGTCTTCTTCATCAGTCGATTTACTCCTGATGTGATTATAACTGTCTCCACGTGCACAGAATTGGTCGTCATCTGAAGATGTGGAGCTTCGATCGTCTTCTGAGATATCACTCCAAATCGCATCCAGTTTTTCTACACTGTCGTCATCATGCGTTGATTCCGACAAAACGTCTGACAATTCGTGGTCTAGATCTTGATAACTAGAACATGAAGCCAAGTACATATTTGTAATGTTTAAATCCGATTCGTCCGATGATGCTTGACTATTTTCGAAAACAACATCAACAGTTCGCTTGAAACACGGTTTTTTCTTTGTTCATCTTCATCCGATGAGAAGTTTGCTTTTCGCCTGTTATGTCGGGAAACAGTGGCTTTCGGCTTAGGTATAGCAGGGTTTCTTCGATGCGAGTTGTATCGACCTCTCTTCTTTCGTTTCGTCGACTCCATGGTCAACTCAGGAAAGACTGCAGGTAGAGTGGACTGGCATCTAATACATATCAAAATCCCCTGCTGATTGGCTTACACCTAACACGTGACTACACAAAATGAGCGCGAAAACTTCACAGAGGCCGTTTTCGCGCTCATTTGTTCATTTCGTTGTTCCTTTCGTTGTTCGTTTTGAAGAGGATCGAGTTCGGTTTTGTCAGCTTGTAGATTTCTGCAATTATGAGGAAAACAAAAGCACCTTCTCGCTTCACTGATCATCTTGGTAAGTCATTTTACTTCCAAATGTAATTCTTGTAAGTGCCTAAATTAAGATTATTGTTCTAAAACAATGATTTTGAGAGCTCGGCCCATGCTTATATAGGAATTAATTAAATTACAGGCGTGCGTTTCGCGGTTCAATGAACGCGGTTTAAAAAACACGCTTCTACGACCTATATAAACTCTTTCTAGTAAATATACACTGCAATCTTTTGCTTGAATAAAATAAATTTAGGCTTTTGCATTATACGATGGAGCTTGGCAATCAATTTTGTAGTTTTAAATGCTGGGAAGAATGTCGCATATATGCTGGGGACAGAACACGTGCAACGTACAGCTCGCAGTCCTTTCAACCTCTTCAGAGGTTGAATAAGACGTGCATAATTTTATCGTTATATGTTCACCTCATATCTCATATATATTTCGAACTTTTCATTCATGCTCAATAATTTCTAAGAATTTTCCAGGATATCAGTTGTTTCGGATATTGTGCAAGGATTAATTCGTTCCGAAGATCATCATTAGGGAGTTTAAGATACTCCGACTACGGACTACGGCTACGGATAAACATGCTACTGCGCATGATCAAAACCACGTGACTGTTCAGTTTTCCCGCGTAGTCCTGCGGCTACGGTGAGTTATTGAGCTGTTTCGCGTAGTCGGGACTACGGAGAACATTTTACTCGTATTTTGCCGTCTCGGTAATTCAAGAATCTCGTCTTTTCGTAAAAAAGGTTCAATTTGCCTGCTTTAAGTGAGAGGGAAGCGAAATATGTAAGTTGTGCCTAATTTCTGCTCAGATTTACGCTTTTAGTCCACCGTTGTGACTACATTTTTATCTAGCTAAGCTCCTGTAAGCTCATATTTAAAGAAGCTTAGCTGTTTATACGCAGAATTCCGATTGATGGCCGAGGAGAAGCGAAATCATGCAGGTAATTTACTTTCTCTTCACACTTGAAAAGTTTCAATGTTTGTTCGAACTGATTAGTGTGTCTTTCTACTTGTGTGACCTTTGTTTATGCGAGTTTTTGTATCGCATTTGCTGAATGAAAATGATGTAAACATCTTCGAGACAATCGAAACTGGGCATTTCAATACTTCAAACTACATCAGATCAGTAGTCGGAGAAGTCCATCTTCTAAATCTAATAAATGAGCTATTACTATTTCTGCCTATTTCTTTAATATTTTACATAAGTATTCATGGGCGAAAAAAATAAAACCTGTGCAACCAAAACTTTGTTTACCGATTTCACCCGAGCTACGGTGATGGAACAAGGAGTAAAGTTTTAGGCGAACAACTTGTACGCGAATCGACTTGTACGTAATTGCTTCCTTCAAGTATGGAAGAATTTGTTCATTGTTCTAAAGATAAGCTAGATCACATGCAAAACTGACTTGCATTTTTGTGAACTGTGGTGAAAACAAGAAAATTTTTGCGTGTTGTTTCCCTCTCCGCCTCTTCTCTCGTAGTCTGCCGTCTGTAGTGGAATCTTAACGTTCTATATTTGCATGACTCAACCCAGTGATACAAACAAACGACAACGCTCGTCCAGCCGTAGTTCGTAGTCCGTAGTCTCCGTATCTTAAACTCCCTATTAATTAGGCTTTCGTTCCACTCATTTCAATATTGCCGCGTTCATTTACAAATGTAACTGTTCGCCAAATCTGTCAAAATCGCTTCTTTCTCGTTTCTATCTGATGTTGATATCTTCGACTTGCTCAATTAATAATCGACGGCAAAGAAAAGAGGGACTGCTTACAGTCTGGTCATAGCCTGGTTATTGATTGATAGATTAATTGTATAGATGGCACTTTTGAAATTGGGATCACCCCTCGATTTTTCATTTATCATTGTCAAGGTAATAAATAATGCATGATTCATTCTTTAGCTATACATTCCATCTTTGATAGATCTGGATAGATTAGTAACTGGTTTATTCTTAAACAACAACGATCAGTTTCTTTTCGATCAACTTTGATATTTGGCTCAGGATCAAAGCTCTTGACCATGCACTATATAAGCTGAGAGCAACTTCAAGATTCTTTGCGAAATTTCAATATGTTAACTTCAAGATTGCATTCTTATTATTTAGTGTGCAGCATACAAACTGGTTTGTCTGGTGCCATTAATTGATTATAATATCGTTGATGTGTCTTATTATATTTTGTTCTTTATCGTAGACCACTACCTTGTTGTCTTCAAGGATGACAATATCAAAAATATAGTCAGTGCTGATGAGATTAGAAACTGTGAAAAAATTGAAAAAGGAGCATCTTGTGATGCGCTGTGGACGGATGCCCATCACAAGGACTGGTATCCTGCATTTGTTGTGGACATTGGAGGTAAGACTAATTAAATCATCACAAAATAAAGGCCTGGCCATGCATTAACACAAACTGATAAATCCCAGGGTGAGAGGAAGGAGCAAAGGGCCTTCCTAAGTAGGATTTTATAGTTCACTGTACATTGTATTTGTATTATAATTATTATAACAACATGGCATTGATTTCATTTGCCTTTAATTTGGTGTTATAAGCTGGAAAAGTATACATAACACTGATGGGTATAATTTGCAAAAAGTTGTTTCATGACAGTCAAAACAGGTCAAGTATTTCTTTTAGTGAGCTTCCATGTAGTGGAATGTCAATTTTTAGTTGCACTGAATTAATGTAATTTGACATATTATTTCTAGACATTTGCATAATCAATTCCTGCAATGATTGGCATTTCCCTTGTTTCTGTTTGCCACACAAGACACTCAATCTTTTCAAGCCTCCCAAGAATTCATCTGACATAACTATGATATTCTTCCATTTGTCTGACTTCAGTGTTTTCTTTTTAAATGTCTGCTATCCTACAGATCTAGAGTATCTGACAAATGTCCAGCAGAGAAGAACTCAAAAGAAAAAATTGCCAACTAAGACAAAAGCCAAAGTAGACAAAGGGGGGAAAGGAAAAAGGAAGAGAACAAATGCCTGGTCTAGCACAGAAAAAGGAAAGACGGAATCCGATCCAGAAGTAAACAAAAGTGAAGACGAATGTGAAGAAAAAAAAAGGAAGAAATTATCTATGGAGGCCAAGGCCAAAAAGGCCGCAAAGGCAAAAAGTCGCAAAGGAAGCCCTGCTAAAGCAGAGGCTTCAGCAGGCAAAGACATTCCAAATTAAAAACCAAATAAGTAGCTCTTCCCATGAATGTTCCAAGAGCTGAGTGACTCTGAAAGCGAGCGTGCATGTAGTCTTCAACAGGCCAAAGTATCTCCAAGCCAGCAGTCACATAGCTCATCCCTTGGATATTCTGGAAGCTTAATAATGGTTGATTCTGAGAGTGAGCCGTTAAACAGCAGTGAGGATGAGTACTTCCCAGGTGATGAAGAGATGCATGCTGATGATGATTTTGTAGGAATGGAAGTTACTGTGCCATACCGCTCACCGCTAAAGGAACTTTTTCAGAAGGGTATGTCTAAGTTTTGGGCTGTTGAAAAACCTGTAGTTAGCATTCCTACTACTTGACCTGAACAGATGAACCTTATGTTTTTTTTTCTGATTTCTGTTCCAAATTTGCATGCAAATCCAAAACTATCCATATTACTGAGAATTAGGAACCAGAATGGTTTAAGGAAAATATGCCACCAAAATCTCAACCTTCACCAAACAAAGCACTCATCATTGACAAGCCCTTCTTGTGTTCTTTTAACATATAATGTGCTTTAATGTGATCTAATTAGCTATTTCTTAATTATAACTCAAAGCAACCAAGAAAAGTGAAAATGATTAGTACATGCAGTTATCACTTGTAAGGTCCTTCCAAGTTACACTTAAGGTACTCTACACTTTTATCCCAATGATGAAATTTTATTCAGATGCATGCATACATGTATATTTTGAAAGGTGATGCTAAAGTTGCACCAATATCAAGGAAAGAGAAGGGATCAAGGAATCTGACAGATGGAGCTCAAGGACAAAGTGAGTATAGTATCTATATAGTGTCTGTCCATTGTTGTTTCATGATGTTATTTGTTTTACATGCATATTCTACTTGATATTCAAAGTGGTCTTGGAGTTGCAACAATAATTTAAAAGGAAGTAGAACAATTAACAGCTAGAGATTACCATGATGAAGTAAATTTTATTCAAGTTACACTTAAGGTACTCTACACTCAAGTTAATGATCCCAATGATGAAGTAAATTTTATTCAGATGCATGCATACATGTATTTTGTTTTGCAAGGTGCTTCTAAAGTTGTACCAATATCAAGGAAGGAGAAGGGATCAAGGAATCTGACAGATGGAGCTCAAGGACAAAGTGAGTATAGTATCTATAGTGTCTGTCCATTGTTGTTTCATGATTTTATTTGTTTTGCATGCATATATTCTACTTGATATTCAAAGTGGTCTTGGAGTTGTAACAATAATTTAAAAGGAAGTAGAACAACAGCTAGAGATTACCATGAAGAAGTAAATTTTATTCAAGTTACACTTAAGGTACTCTACACTCAAGTTAATGATCCCAATGAT